CTGATGGTCAAGCTTCACCTCCCGACCCGCTAGCAAAGCGCCCACTGTGGGAGGGGACTGGCGGTCCAGAGCCCAAGCAAGTGGTGTCCATCCGCTCACATCTTCTTCGTTCTCATCTCCACACCGATATTTGATCAATGCTCTTACGCAGTCTGTGTGGCCGCCGCCACAGGCTAGAGAAAGAGCACTTCTACGGTCATTGTCTTTGCTTTGCCTGTCGATTTTGTAGTCATCCCTCATTAGGACATCAATGGCCTCTCCTTGGCCGTTGTTGGCAGCCCATAGCAACGGCGTCCGGCCCTTCTTGTCTTTGAGATTTACGTTCACACCCGGTTCCTTGAGTAGCATCTTCAAGGCCTGTAGAAAACCTTCGCCTGCAGCCCAAGACAGTATTGAACGGCCCTGGCGGTCGACATGATTGACATCCACAGCTTTGTGGGCAAGCAGAGCACGCCCAATCACCGTGTGGTCTCTTTCCATGGCCCAAAAAAGAGCCGTCCATCCGTTGTTATCCTGGTGTTCAGGCCGACAATCATGCCGGTTAAACAGCATCTGAAAGATTTCCTGGTGACTGTTTCCAGCCGCGTACGATAGGGCAGAACGACCGGACGGTCCTTCGGCATTGATACTGGTACGTGTATCATGCAAGAGAGTTCGTACAACCTCAACGTGGCCATGATGAGAAGCTATAGTTAATGGAGCGTGTAGTTCAACTACGCGCGAGTTAGGATTTGCACCATGCTGGAGCAGCACCTCCACCGATTTTGCACTTCCCATCCTCGCGGCCCAAAACAGAGCACGATCTTTGCTGAGCTGTTCGGTTGGCATGCGCAAGCAATCGTCGAGCATGACTGCACAGTCAAAAAACGCGGCCACCATGACAGTGTCGAAATAGTCTGGTAGCACATACTCCATGTCCGTCTCAAACCAATAGTATTTGAGCCAATTTGTGAGCATGCCACTCCCGGGTTGTGTCAAACTGCGAAAAGCTTCCTGGGTAGATCTGTCGACAACGGTCTCGCATTGTGCATAATGCCTAGCCCAGTGCATTGCAGCATAGTCGTAGAACTGGTATCGCTCAGCGATAGACACGCGGGTTCTTTCATCGGACCCGTCACCAGTATCCATGATGGTATCTCCTTTCATGTCGAAACCCAAGTCGAATAAAGATTCTGAATCGGTGTCTTCTTGCGCACCAGCAATTGTGTCGTCCTCATCCCACGGAAGGGTCGGAAGTATGAAGATATCGGTCGCGAACTCCTCAAGAGAAAGGTATCGAATGCATGTGGAAGCCATATGGAGCGCTGCCGTCGGATTCGAAGTACCAAATTCTCGAACTGTACTGTCTGGCGATGACAGTGCATGTCCGGTCAGAAAGTCTTTCACAGACTGATGGATAAGAGACACCTTCTGCGCCTCGATACGAACGAAAGGGCCCACAACAAGTTGTAACATCTGCTCGAGCGCGGTCTGACGGTCTTCCATCACCTCGGCAACAGTCTGATAGCCCTCCAGGCTGCCATCAATGGTGTAGGCTATGTTCATTTCGTCTAACGACAGATGCCTCGAACTTCCCAGCAAGAGGCGTAAGACGGTGGAGGCGATGATTTTCCTACTATCGGGTATACGGTAGAGAAACTCCGCATACGTCGCTTGTAGCTCACGGGGGAAGTCGTTGATAATTCGCTTGAGATCTCTCTTCGACGTAGAAGGACTATCCTCAAGTGACTTGAGTACGATGTTTAGCCACAGGAATGACTTTTCCGCCTTTTCCGTGAGCAGCGCTTCCAATTCAGCAATGGTCTCGGCCGAGCAGCCCAGCTTGCTGGCGATCCGCCCAAGCTTATTGCGAATAACGAGTCGAATCTCTTCGCTGATTCTGGCTTGGTTTCCATCTAGTGGCAGGACAGTGTTCTGGGTTTCTTCAAGAACGCTGAGGTCTTGCGGTGAAGGTCGACTGGTGAACAGGAACTTGACAAAACTTCGTGAGCGACGGGTCGCACGACGCGCTTCCTGCACCAGCTGCTTGATTGCCTGGAGGAACAGCCGCCGAGTGTTTGGTTCACATTCGTCGATCGCATCGACGATAATACCGAATGAACCCAGCCTCGCTTCTTTCACAATACGAACGAAGATCTCCCATAGAGCGTGAAATGAATCCACAAGATGATGGCCTGTGGCTTCCCATCTCGACTTCACGTATTTGATGAGACTTCGGTGTCGTAGCAGGATCTGGTGTAGGATGCTCTTCATTATTCCTTTTGCATCCCTCTGCGTACCTACTTTGTCGTCACAAAAGAAGTAGAAGACTTCTGGTCCGGATGAAGATGGAGACTCAATCGCCAGGTGCTCGGTGAGGTACAAAGAAAGCATCGTCTTTCCGCAACCTGGTTCACCTGTGACCCACAATAAGCCCGTCTCGTTAGATTTGAGCCAAGACATATACTGTGGATCGTTAAGAATCCAGCTGCAAGTGCCCTCCACAGGTTTAGGTAGTTGATTTCGATAGTCTTCGAGACCTGTGGAGTAGAGCAGGCTCATACAGCGCTTCTCATTTGATTGCAGAGCTAGTGACTTCTATTAGCGAGAGCGAGAAAATGTTTTAGCGATACGTACACATGTTCGCCGAATGCCTGTTTGACTTCGCTTCCTGACACAGTCGTTTGAGTTCACTGACGACCATGGTATAATCCTTGTTGCTCCTCGACTCGAAGCGACACATAGCCCTGTGGTCAGCATTCAAGGGAATGACCATCTCGCCACGGATCCCCATAACGGCCGAGGGGCGATCGACGACCTGGTCAACGGTGACGATGTTAGCATGAACCACACGAGTTATAGGAGCACTTACGACTTTATTGAAGGGAGGCAGGATGTTCCGTTCATAAAAGGTAACAATCTTGAGGAAGCCCAATTGTTTGCAAAATGATTCGAAAAGGACGGCTAATTCTTCGGATCCCAAGCTCAACGCCTTGATAAGATCACTGCGGACGGCTGGAATTAGGAAGAAGGCATTTGCTAGATCCCCGATAGCCACTCCTAGGTCTGCTATTGCTGAGCCGCGGTGAGGAGTACCAAAAAAGACGATGGCGATGGTAGAGGCCAGGATGTCTTCATAGTGGCTGTGTTCTTGAGCTAAAAGCAGTGCCTTGGAGGTTGCAGTCAGTCAACAGCACAAAGTCTCTCAAAAGTTGGATCATATGTACCTGCTTACACACAAGTCCACCTAGACTATGACAAATGAAAATGATTGGGCGCGGAGGCTGTGGAGCGTAAAATCAGCGGAGATAGTCAAATGCTCCCATGTTTTCTTACAGTAGCTTCGGACGACTGATCCAGTTGGCGGCGTAAATCCGCGAGGAGTCTAAGTGAGTAGTCTTTTATTGTACTCACGTTCTTGCTGAGCAGAATCTCGGCTGCGTAACCATACGTGAAGATGCGCGCGCGTGGCAGGTCAATTGGTAGAAGGTCCTTAAGCCATGACTTGTTTGTTTTCTCGTGGATCCACGTCAAGTCAGACTTGCCATTAAGCCCGTGAATAGCCACTATGTCAACTCCTTGGTCTTGCGGACCGTCGGTGATGTGTGTGCCGTCATATTCAACATTGAGACCATAGCGATTTTTGGAGGTGGGACTCTTATTACGTTTGGGCTTTGTAGCAGTCGAGGTTGCGATGGAAGGAGCAGAGCTTGGCGCGCAAGGAACCGACTGAATGTTATAGTTTGGCTGAGAAGGCTATTTGGTTGTCAACGTTGAGTCTCGATCCTGCCTCATGGACCACAGCATCCATCTGAACTAACCTGGTTCTGGCTGGAACTGTCGGGCGCTAGCGACTTAGGCTTCCGAAGCTCGCGGTATTTTCGGATAATTGTTTTAGTAACCATCTCATCGTCTCATTCAGCAGTAGTTAGACTGCTATCCGTAAGGCAAGTGTGAAAATAAGCTGAGACCGAAGAGCGGGGGGAAATGTACGTATCGTTTCCGCAGCTGTGTTCCCCTTACCCGCGCTAATCATGAATGGGCGAAGGCACGCGCATGCAAGGATTCAATTTCGCAATCCGTGCAGCCGACGTGACATGGCATGCAACTCTGCGGCACAGCTGCAGCACCCACAGTATCTACTCTTTATCCGAGTAAAACGAGTTTTCTTTGGTCTTGCCAGGGGATCGAGTACGATACTATCGACCTTGCGAGCGAGTCTCGACGCCACCAGATCCGTATTGCGCGCCACCAAATATTGGCAGAACGCCTTCAGCGACGACGAAAGGGTCAGTGTTGCGCTTCCCGTGTGACTCGGTAGCTCCTCCCATCACAATGTCGACTCCCGACACGGTACGACCTGCCGCTATCGTTGCGGGACCTCGGGACCGCCCGCGGGCCTCTCGAAGGCGCGATCGCTCTTAGCCCCGATAGACATAACTTATCCAGCCGACCGTATGGGGTCGCTTCCAAATTACACACTACGGTCGCATCACAAGGATGGCCATCTCCAAATTTTTCCTTTGGTCACTGACGCATGATCTCGTTTGCTTCGCGCAGCTAAACATACATGGGTAGTGCTCACCCATTGGTCGTGTCCTGTTGCAACAGTAGTTATCGTATTATCTGCTTAGCTCGACAATACCTCCCGAAAGTCTTGCCTTTACCAGCTTGGTCATACCTAGGCTTGCGATTTCTGTAGAGCTGTTGTTGGTCGGCATTCTTCAGAGTGACTATCGCAGTCTCAACGTCACGCTGTGAGTCGCAGCCAAAGGCACGGATCTCCAAGTTGTCATCGCGTCTACTCAGAATCAACCATGAACTCAGGGTGCTCTGAAGACTCGCAGAGTCATGGAAGAAGACTCGCGCTGCATGAGTGTAGGAAGCAGAGAGTCATAGGGGGTCTATTTCACGGATATTGCACTCTTTCAATATCCTCACCTAAGTACGTGCCTCGATATCACTCCTTGGCCCAATAATCAAAAACCAAACCTCGAACCAAGATATTACAGACCGACGCCATGCTATCGCACCAGAACACAGAGCAGGCCCTTAGTCACTCGGATTACTGGGACGAGCAGTATGCGACAGCAACTGGGGACAAACCGACGCATGAGTGGCATCGTAGTTTTAATCAGCTGGAGTCATTCTTCCAGAGTTATCTCTTCCGAAACAGGTCGAAGGATACGAGGATTCTGCATTTGGGAAGCGGGGACAGTGTAAGCAGCTTTTCTCTTCTCCACAAGGTTGTCTTGTTGGAATCTTTTTCTTCAATTGAAAAGCCCTACATATCCTTGGCTTTACCTGCGTTGCTTGAGAGTAACAAACTGACATATCACCAGAATGTGCCATACGACCTTCTAGAACGGGGATACAGAAATCAACTCTGCATCGATTTCTCTACAGTAGTAGCCAATCTGATGAAGTCTCGACATGCCGATAAGCCCCAAGTAGCATGGCAAGTCGGCGACGTGCGAAACATGAGCGAAATCGCTCGCAACTCCGTGGATGTTGTCTTTGACAAATGCACACTAGATTGTATGTCCTACGGCAGCCCATGGAGTCCACCAAAAGAGGTCCTCGAGAACAGCAGGATGTATCTCGGAGAAGTGAGTAAAGCAAAGGAGTACAGACATGTCTGTTCGAACAACTACTAACTACAAACAGGTCTGGAGGGTCTTGAAAGATGACGGCGTCTTTCTTTACGTCACATACCGTCAGCCCCACTTCGTCAAGCCAATTCTTAATTCGCATGATGAGTGGGATCTTGACATGGAAGTCCTAGGTGGAGGAGGGGGAACCTTCCACTACTTCGGCTTCATCCTCAAGAAGCACAGCACAGGTTCCGGCTGAAAGCGCGATCGAGGACACTGTATATGAAGATGGGGCAATCGCATCGATCGGGTCAGGATACGTAGAAAGTATGGGGGGTCGCGGGAGGTTCAAATGTCTGACGGTGCATATACAAAGACATGCACTGTCTTAAGTAGTCGATTAGAATGATATCAAGATTCAGAATATTTCTGGGGCTGAAGACGTAGATGGGCTTTCCCGTAGCCCTCGCGCGACGGCGGGGTTCGCTAGTCGCACGGGCCATTTCCTCTCTGCTCTTTCTCTTCCCACTCCTCGTCCCTCCCAACTACTTCGTATACTCCACACGGTGCATTTGGAATCTTTCGAACTTTCTTAGCTTCCCACAATCTACTCAGACACCGTCTTGCATGAAACAGTCGACTTTCCATCTTTGAACCCTGGCGTGCATACGATCGGTGCAGAACTTTCGAATACTAGCTCGACGCTTCCGTTCTTCGCGCCATGGAACTGGATGTTCGCGCTCGCGTTCGCCGCGTTCATGCCGATTCCAGCGCCGATGATGATGGCTTCCGGGGTCATGTTGAAGCCGCTGCCGAGACCGAAGTCGCTGGATCCAGCTTGAAGTCCGCCTGTTTCGCATACGTTAGCCAGCGCAAGTCGCATAAGAATGTAAACTACGTACCTCCGTACGACACATCGGCTTGCCAGTTGATGCCGCAGCCTACACCAATGTCGCCGAATGGTGAAAGGTTACCCGCCGCAGCGACATTGCCGATTCCGCTAGTCGATGTGACATTTTTTGTCAGACTCGTAATCTCGACGCCGTTGGCTCTTCGGTGTTGATGCGGAGTTGCTGATGCGAGCATCTGCATCGCGAGGAACGGTAAGACGAATTGGGCGAACATGATATCGATGACGTTGACGATGCGACGCGGTTTCAGAAGAGGAGGGCCGATGTATATATAGAGGGAGAACTGCCGTTGGGTAAGGCTGCAGATGGTACAAAGTTGTACTTATAGTCGGTGCTTCTCAAGGTTTGATGATCAGGGGCCCGGCGAGACTGTCTTCATCGCCATTCAGGCTATTCATTACTTCTGTGCTTCTAGTCGACTTCCATCTGTTCTACAGCACCTCCCGGACGATCCGGTAATTGCAATGGCGAGTAAGAACCGCCATTCGGTCCGCACCCAAGCCTGATAGGGGGCTTACGCTGCGTTAGCAGGAAACCCAAACTCCACGCGACGATGGCAACTCTATTCTGACAGCCGCAAGTATTTTTGTATACAACGTACTCACGCTCTGCTGAAAATGGAGAACATGTTTCGCGATGTTGTGGACGGACGCAGGGTCGCAAACTAATTGCCATCTAAACAATACGCTTTCGCTTTCGGCGGGTTCTCGGGCCTTCTCTAGGAAGTGTTGGGCTGTACTAACGGCCCTCACGGGTCTAACCCTGCCGTCAGCGATGCTGACGTAGATCACGGTTCGTAGATGGTAAACTAGCTGTGTCAGATTGTGCACCGCCAGAGGAGGCGCGCCACCTTGACGTCTTATATTAGGAGTTCTGCTTATAAGGCTGGGCAGTGCTTACTCGATACCTCACTTCCGTTCATCGCATCTCATCCAAGATGTTCACCCCTCTGGTCTTTGGTTTGCTTCTGGGAGCGGCGCGTTCAGTCGTGGGGGAAGAGTCGAATGCACCCTACCCGACAGGAACGAACGGTTCTTACCCCACAGGGAACAACGACTCCTGTCTCCACACTCATGATGGAGGTTTCACTCCGGACTTCTACCTTTCGGTTACATACGAGAACCACACTGTAGCATGCCAGACTCGCATGTCTGCGTTGGTAAACGGTACATCCCCTGGACCCGAACTACGTCTTCCAGCCGGGAAGACGAGTTGGGTGCGAGTCTGTAATGACATGGAAGAGTACAACACTACCATGGTATGAAAAATCTGGACTATACCACATAACAGCAACTAACACGCATCAGCATTGGCACGGCCTCAGTCAACGTACTGCACCTTTCAGTGACGGCTCACCTGTCAGCCAATGGCCGATCGCACCTCACAGATGCTTCGACTATGAGATTCATCCCGAGGTTGAGGATGCCGGAACCTATTTCTACCACTCTCACATCGGCTTCCAGGCCATCTCTGCAGCAGGGCCGCTCATCATCGAAGACTTTGGTCCTCCTCCGTTTGAGTACGATGAAGAGCGCATCGTCTTTATCCAAGACTACTATAACAAGACTGATGAGGTAATGGAAGATGGTCTCGTTGCGACGCCATTCAAGTGGACTGGTGAAGTCAACGCAGTGCTTCTAAATGGTGTCGGTGTTGCCATTGGTGAAACAGCTGGCGAGGGCACCTGTGAGCTACCAGTTATCGAAGTCGAACCGGGCAAGACCTACCGCATGCGCTTTGTAGGCGCAACAGCCATATCGATGGTATCGTTCGGTATCGAGGGCCATTCCAAGTTCGACGTTATCGAAGCCGATGGTGGCTACACGCAACCCCACACTACAGACCACATGATGCTTTCATCCGGCCAACGTTTCGACGCCCTCTTCAGCACAAAGACAGCAGAGGAGCTCGGCAACCAGACCGAATACATCATGCAATGGGAAACCAAAGACCGACCTGCAATCTACACCGGCTTCGGTATCCTGCGCTACCCAAGCTCAGGACCCAAGACCACCACCGCACCTACGGTCGCCCCTCTAACCTTCACCAACGCCACCTACGACTTCCTCGAGTACGCTCTCGAGCCCCTCGTTCCCAACAACTTCCCCAAAGCCTCGGAGATAACCCGCCGCGTTCACATCAACAACGTGCAACTCAAGCAATCCACTACAATCTGGCAACTTGATGGTCTAAACTGGACCGAAGAGACCACCGCCAACAGCCCGCCCTACCTCGTCGATATCTACAAGAACGGCCCTGCAGCTATGCCGAACTACACCGCCGCCATGGCCAACGGCGGCTGGGACCCATACACGCTAACCTGGCCCGCTAAACTCGGGGAAGTCATCGAAATCATCCTAGAAAACACCGGGTCTCTCGTCGACAACAACGGCGGCTTCGACTACCACCCTTTCCATCTCCACGGCGCGCACTTCTACGACTGCGGCAGCGGAAACGGCACATTCGATCCTTTTGAGAATGAGAAGAAGCTCGAGAACTACAACCCTGTCAGGCGCGACACCACGAACCTGTACCGATACCGTACTAAGGGCACAGCGGGAGAAGACGGTGGATGGCGCTGCTGGAGACTGAGGGTTCTGGACCCGGGCTGCTGGATGCTGCATTGCCACGTGCTGCAGCATATGATTATGGGTATGCAGAGTGTGTGGGTTATGGGCGATTACGAGGATATCGCGCGCATTCCTTACTCGGGTGCGCAGGGCTACCTCGACTTTGGTGGTACCGCATATGGTGGACAGGATATCTCACCCGTCGCTTATCATAATTGGGATGAGTAGGCGGAAACTTAGGTTTCGCTGTTTCCAAGTCTAGACTCTTTTTCTCAAGCTCTGTAGATTAACATTTATTAAACCTAATCGTTTATCCAAGTGTTGTTCCTATAAATGAGCTTCTCTCTGCGCGCTGTGGCTTGCTGTCTAGGCTGGTCTCCAATGTCTGCTAATCTCAATACAGAGTGTGCGCTTGCGATGCTGAAACTATCTAGGTGATTCATGCGATATGCGTATATTGCAGGAGTACCATGTTAGTGAATGTACTCCAAGCTAGCGCAGCTGTCACGTGTTTGGGAGCTAACTAGGTAGTCTTGGCGCGTGACCGAGCTCTGACGCGTCCACCTCTGAACGCGTCTTCTGGCAAAATGACGACACCCCGACTCAAGAGCGACTTCTCCCCCCCTCATCGACTTGATCACAACGATGTACATGGCCGATGTCATCTCCCTCACAAAGCATCAATGTCATTTGGCGTCAATTTTAGCGAAGCGACAGATGAACAACAATTAATATGCAACAAACTAGCAGCTGCCGCATTCGGGGAACCGCTTTCCGAAACCGACTTCCTGGAGCGAGAAGAGTTCATGAGCAGACAAGCTCTTGCGCAAGATGATGGTGTGCGAACTTGGTGTCTGTATCGCAGTGATGATCAGTCTCAAGTGCTGGCAACTTGCAAAACCGTGAAGCGGCAACTGCTCGTCACGAATGTCGATGGATCTCATCGGGGGAAAGGGTACTGTATCGCCTCTGTAGTTACTCACCCTGATCACCGCGGTCAAGGTTACGCTTCTGCGCTTCTACACAACCTCGCCCAATGGCTGGATGGACCGGGAGACGCGCTCGCGAGCATGCTTTACAGCAACAAAGAAGTAGTGAGTGACTGCTAGAGCAACTACGACGGGTACTAATCCATATCAAGTTCTATGCCCGACTTGGTTGGACTCCGGTTCCGGCCCCTGCAATCGTGCTTCCCACCGACCTCTCTATCGACGACGACCTCTACATGGCGCACGGCACACAAGACAATATCCGGCATCTGTGCGCGGACGACATCGACGAGCTATGCATAGAGGACACCCGTACATTGCTAGACATCGACAAAGTGCGAACCGCCGAAGGACACACGTTTATGACCGTACTTCCAACGACGGACCTGATCGACTGGCAACACAAAAGGGCGGACTTCATGGCAATGAAGATACACAAGAAGTCGCCCACAGTCAAAGGAGCTTTGCACAGCTCCAATGCTTGGATCTACTGGCATCACGATTTCCGAAAGCAGCGCCTTTTCGTTCAAAGGATTCGGATATCAGTTGAACCTGGGGTAGAAAGAGACGATGCCCTCGTTAGTCTTGTACTTTGCGCCATTCGTGAGGCTCAATCATGGGCACTGCCAACGGTTGTATTATGGGGAGTTGCATCTGATTTGCATAATAGATTCGACATACTAAAGACCAGATTCGGACGGCTCGACCCGATTCTGCAGACACAAAGACGGGAAACCACTTCTATCAGATGGAGAGGCGGCAAGAACGACAAGGCTGATATCATTCCCGACGAACACTACGCTTGGAACTGAGCCATTGCTCCCAGAGCATCGAAAACCGCTGTTTGCTGTTCAAAGTGCGGAGGAGTCCTGGAATCCGTCAAGGCCATCCGGATGTTTTGCGAAGAGACGTAGCATTTCTTGCTTCACCCTGAAGATACAATAAGTATCTGACACGCCTGCAATCCCTTGGACTTACTCATCACGGAGGTAAGCTCGATGCTCGTGCAGCCCAGCATTGATAATGTCATCCCGCCTATGGCTGTTAGCTGGCCAAAACTATCATGACGACAGGCATGTTTACATGGCATACAGCGCATTGCGATCATCGAAGTCCTCAACGGGCTCCGAAGGCTGGATCACCGCTTTGTATTTCTGCACATATTCTTGGTTGAACCGATAACGCGGTTGCCTCATCATGTGCAACTCCACTGTGGACACTGTCAGATCGCACCTTCGACACTTGTAGCTTTCTCACATTCGTTGTGTGCATAACAGCAGCAGGAGTCGAAGAAAATCACCCGCTTGGTGTCCATGTCAACTTGGGCATTACCGTGCCATAGGTCGCCGTGGACGAGAGTAGGCTTGATAGTCCGACCACCAGATTGAAGTGGTCTCAGCAAACGTGGTATGACTTTTGCGAAGAACTCTTCTGCGACTTCATTAAAGTCGGGATCCACTCCTCGGACGCTCTGTTCCCATTTGATGTCCGATTGGAGTTGACGACTATACCATTGCTCCCAACTGTCGCACCACTCGTTCTGGAGCGGGACATGGCCATTGAAGGTGGTGACATGGAAGCCAAAGTTACCTGTCGGTGAAGATGAGCCGATGTGCAGCTTTGCCAACACTTTGATCAGCTCCGCTGGGTCCGGCGTCTTCTCCTTCAATTCACGGTATGTTGTTAGGAAGAACGACTTTGTCGGGTCCAGCTCGAATGTACCGAAAGCTACCGGAACGACTGAGTTGTCTGGCAAATGCTGAGCTAATGCTTTTTGACTCTCGTATTCACCAAGCGCCATCTCCGCGTGCTGGGGCCGATGACCGACCTATCTGTAATGAGCGGCACGCCTCGAGTACCGAGGCTTTACGGGCCACAAACCTTGAGGAAGAACTCCTTTTCTTCGCCATCCTTTTCCAAGCTCAGCTTGTAGCCCGTGGACCAACTTGAACTTCCATGCTGGCTAACTTCCTCGATATTCCAGCCTAACGGCAGAGCTATGAACGTATTAGCATCGAGGCAACCAATGCTCTGGCTTTGTACATGACCTTTCAGAACTGCTGGATCTAGACTGAAATCCATGTGATCTATGGTTTCTGGATTGCAACTTGGCCAACTTCCAGTTACTGTGAGACACCGGGAGGCAGACTATATATGCAGACTATTGAGGGCGCATGAGTCGTACTCATCAACCCATGGCTGGCCAGCCAGCAGTGCTTGTGGCGGCTTTATCTCACGCTGGCGCTCCTCCCGAGCGTTCATTGGCACACATAGCGCTTTGCCCTGCTTGCGATGTTCTCCGCGGGCAGGCTGCATGTTGGCATATCTTCAATGCGATACCCAACAATCTGTTCTCATCCAGGCTGTGCTCTACGATAATATACAAACTCACCTCTCCTTTCACACGTTAGTCTGTTTTCAAACCCCGGCTAGCGCCTCGGTATTCCCGCGTACCTACCCCACATGTTCCCGCAACAATGGTGCGCTCCCTCCCCTACCTCGTTCGCGTCATGGACAAACTACCACAGGAGCTGATCAACCGTATCGTGTGTTTCGCAGAGCGGTACCCAGGCCGGGAACAGCGGGCTTCCGCGATAGGACAATCTTTCGAGCCCGATGGTTCGCCATCTCAATTTCCTCGCCTCGCGATCCTCAATCGCACTTGGAAGGAAGCAGTCGAGACCATTACATTTCACCGTCTAGGCATCAAAAGCGATGAGCTGGAATCGCTTCAGTCGATCGTAACAGGAAATCGCCGCAACTACCTTTCCTGGATCACTTTCGAAGCGGAATTGCCAACATATCCGGAAGAAGCATACGAACACAAGGAGTCGCGACTTGATCAACATGCCAACAACGAGGCATTTACAAAAGCCATAAGCAATCTTTTCACGGTGCTGCGAACCTGGGAAGACAACGGTGTGAAGAATGGAGTGCGGCTTACCATCGTGGGAGCTACGTCCCCGACCGACGCTCGGGAAGTGGATGAGTTCGAAATTGAGCATGGTCTCAGCAGAGATATTCAATCCGCTCGTTGGGCAGAGTCGTACCTGCGCCTTGTTGAGCCCGACAATCTGCCTACATTGTCCAATCTACAGCACCTCACTATCGAGCGCACCGGCGTGCGAAGCCTTGCACCAAGCGTTGCACCAGATTTAGCGGTGGCAATGCCAGAGCTCAGGACAGTGGACTGGGAGTTTCCAGACTACGAGGCTGGTTCTGACGTGGGGTCGGATCAGGACTCGTTGGATTCAGACTATGATCCAGAGTGGGAACCGGCGACATCTCCCAAGGCGCGCGGTGAGGCGCGCGCTGAATTTGCTAATAAGCTCTCGCCGACACGTTTCCGCTCACTCCATTCTGCCAATATCGTCTTTGTACACAGCACTCCTTCAGATCAGAGGTATACAGTTCCGAGCATTGTACCAGAAGGCTACACATACGACCCGTTCAGTTCATCAATCCGAACCTTCTCACAATGTCTTACCACCCTTACCCTGAGTGCGCACGTCGACCCCACGCTATTCTGGCCATCGGAAGAAAACGCGATACCACCGTCTTGGCCACACTTGAAGTCCTTCCACGTTGAGTTTGACATGGTCGCTCCATCAGGCAAATGGTACTTCACTGGTCCAACACCGGCGGACGATCCCCACGACGACCCCGTGCGCGGCATTGTCGGGAGTGTCGATACGCGCGAGTTCAGCTGGCAAGACTTCCGGCAGCACCCCGACCCAGAAACCTTTGATCCTTTTCTCGGCGCGCTCGCAAAAGCCGTTGATTGCATGCCTGTTCTTGAGTCCTTTATGCTCACGTCTGAGATGACGGGTAAGACGAGGAAACTGCACATTTCGTATCACGCGCCGGGCCAGAAAGCGGAGTGGGGTGATGAAGGACCGGAGGATGAACAGCACAGGAGGATTTACTACGCTTGTGAGACGGGAGTATGGGTGCCAGAGCCAAAGACGTCTGAAGGGCTGAAACGCGCAGGAATGCAAAAGTATGGCGGGGAGGTTGTCGAGCGATACGTGGGCAGTCAATACTATTGAATGGGATTAGATTGAATACGCACGAAAGAACATACACCCCATTCAAGTGGGGCATCATACACCTATGTCTCCAAAGCCCAATTGTTGAAAAGGCTGAGGAGGCCACATTGCCTTGACAACCCACAGAGTGAAGGTCTTACGGTGATGTAGGCTTCAGGGTACCTGTTCAACTTTTCTCTTGAACGGGATGTAAGTATGGACGCGGGTATGGATTTGCTATGTGATGTGGAGCTTGTATCAAGTTTATGATTTACCTTCTTTCCCGTTCCTTCACATACGACCATAGGACACTGAGAATTAGGCTTCCCGTCCGCTCAGCCATATACAAGCAGTGTACCGGCGGATTAGTAGTTAGGTGGGTGACCACTAGCGAATCCCCGCTGTTGTATGTTTTTGCTCTCTTTTTTGCCCCAAATCTGAAATGGCGACTCTCGAACTCGCTCATCTCTTTTTGTCTTAACATGGTACGCGGGGTGTGTATTGTGGACGATCACGGTCGGTCAAAGCACACTAATGGACTTGCGAGTCGAATAATCTGCGCAGTTGATTTGAGTTTCATGTGTACTCTATGATACATGTTAACTAAGGTTGTGACAAAGTCCTAACGGTGGGTGTGTAGGGCTCGTTTGAACTACATGCGTAGATAGCGCTGTAGGCTGCGGCAAATATGGCAGTAGTGAAGAGCTTTGTTGCGATATATGCCCAAACCAAACGTTGTTTGTTATTGAGGTCGACGTACGCTCGGGCGGCATGTCGTCGCTGTACAGTCGTGGGTTTGAAGACCTCTGCCGTTACGTCCGCACCACCAACGTGCGAGTGTCGTGGAATCGCTAGCTCGTACTAGAGAAGCAGCTGTCTCGGCTTGGGAGTTTGTGTGGCTATCCATAGAGTAGCTCTTGCTGCATGTGTCCTCAAGTCTCTCCCTTCTTCTCTCCCTGCGCATCGAAGCCGAGGCCCTCTAGTTGGCGTATGAGCTCGTTGATCTTGATGACCTTCTCGAACTGCTCCGGTAGCAGCTTGTCGCCCTTGTCCTTCTTGTCCTTTAAATCCCTGGCCTGCCTCAGCTTCTTGGTGAGCTTCTTCGCTTCCTTTTCCTTCTCAACCTCAGGGTCGACAACCTTCTCGGCCTCGGGCTTCGCAACCTCCTTCTCTTTAGTCTCAGCCGGTTTGCCTGCTTCTTTGGGCTCAGCAGAAGCTTCCTTGTCCTCATCTTTCCCATCACCCGCAGCGGCGGCTGCCTTCTTTCTAGCTTCCCTCCGCTTGGCGTTCTTATTCGCAGCTGGACTTGATATGCTGGTTGTATCCTCACTCTTCACCGCTTCAGCACCTGGCACGCCCGTCTTTCCTCTGTTGCGGAAGCCCTCAGCAGTGCGGTTCTTGTAGAGTTCGACATCTTCGGGTGGGCGGTAGCCTGGGCGGACTCGGATTTCTTTGCGCAAGGTGCCGTCGGGACGAACGGATGCAGGGATATGGCGTTCGCCGGATGCGGAGGTGGTGATGCCGGCTTTGGAGATTGCGGGAGTCTCTACTGAAGGCATTGTGTCGGTCGCGCCTGCGGTGAGGTGGAGTGGAGGTAGGGTGCGCCAGAGGATGTCAGGCAGTCGCAACGGGTCGGGGCACACCAATCGCTTTGGTGAGACCTCGCCAGGTCTTTTCAGGCGTCTGCGAGTGAAGTTGAGGATTTACCGGTGCGTGTCGTAGAGGTTGAGCTGGTAGCGGTGGTGGGGTTGGAAACAAAGTTCACGTCAAAGCGGAAGGCACGACGGGCCAATTAGCGCAGCGCAAATCCCCGTGACGCGAGAGCTTCAATCTTGTCGACGAACCTCAGCCTTTGACATCGCCAGTGAAGCACCACCACATCCCCCTCCGCAGTTAACCCAGCCCTCTCGACACCTCCAAAATGTCTGGCGTAAGTGAATTGATCGGATAACGTCTTTGAATGTCCGCTAATGGTCCCGCGCAGATGATCGGCACCGTCTACAAGCAAGTCACTCCTCGCGCACCCCTTGGATCGAACGAGACTAACCATCGCCTGCAGCGCGGTCCTCCGCAGCAACACCACCATGTTGTTCGCCGTCTTCGGCTCCGCCTTCGGTCTCCAACTGTAAGCCACAGCATCCGGAAGAGGAACCTTGGGGAAAGAGAGAGGCTGATAGCAGTGCAGGGCGTTCGACACAGGCTCAGAAAAGATCTGGGACGGTCTCAACCGCGGCGTACGTCAGACTGTTATTGTGGACATGGCATTCGCTAATACAAGTCACAGCGCCAATGGAAGGACATCAAGCAGCGATACATGGAGGCCGCCGAGGACGACGAGTAGGACATCAGCCATACCTCAGTTCGAACATGAAATAGACACTTTCTTACGGTTCTTTGGAGCGGATACTGTACATTGTGGTGTATACTACAGCATGCGAAATACCAAGGCGATGCGACCTATATCCCATACATGAAACCCCGTCAACATGATTGCGTTTGATGGTGTGTCATGGAAGTTCTAACTTGTGACAAAATTCTGGTACATGTCGAATAGATGATTCTAGCATACAGACAGATCAGGGCTGCATCAAACAGACCATATGCTACTACTAGTACATGGAGGACCATGATCAGGCTGTCTCGAACAAGGAACAGAATGAACTTGTGTATTGAATAACTGATGTCTTTCCATGTGACAGCAAGTGACAGAATACTCAAAGACATTGACTGCCTTTGTCGACCCGCGGGGTTTGCAGTCAGCTGCTTGGTGGCGTCGCGCGTGTCTCGGGGGTCCGCGCTGTTTCACGAGATGATGCTCGCAATGACATAGTAGCGCGCATCTTACACCTGCACCTGCTGCTTTCTCTTACCACACCAAGCCTTCCACCAACCCAAGACTCACTCTGGTGGCTGGCCCACAAAACCAGTACCCAGCACCACAATCAACCTCACCGTTAGAGTTCCGTTATTCCCTACGCCCATCACTCGCGCCCCCCACCATCCCGCCGCGAAAGCTGCACCATGTACATGTCCTTGCACGAGCAAGAACTATGCCGACACCTGCGTGAACTCCCACGGCGACACAACTACCGCTTCGAACTCGCCGCTGACCGAGAGCTACGCGAGATTCTCTTCCGCTCTCTTGCTGGCCGCCCTGAATTCCTAGCGCACTTCTTCCCCAATGGGCTTCCCACGGATGCGGAGAAGCCCTGGAGTCTGCGCGACGCCCAGGGTGCCGTAGAAGGCGCCGAATACACACCAGCCGCGAGAGGAAAGCCGTGCGGGCAT